GTCATTGTTGTTGATGTACCTGTACTATAGGGGAGCGGAAGTGGGACATGCAAAAAATTCTGGGAGATTCCATCCTGCTTAGTTTTTATCTTCGATTATGTACCATCTACAATGATCAGGAGTGTGTCACCTTCTGAGTATGCTATCTTCCGTAGTATCTGTTTATCTGTTTATCCATAATATGGTAAGTGAAAAGTATTTTTTGAGCTAGTCTTTGAATGTATTATGCTTTCGTCTCCGACTAGTTAGGAGCAATATGTCTGTCTTGAAAAGCGTTGGAAAATTCACCTCGAATTATTATAGCTTTCGGTTTGGTCATAAGAATTTACGATCATTCAGACGCAAAGTGAGAAACTTATTTGTGAATCTCTGTCATGTGACGCCATAGAGGCGCCTCGCCTTGTAAAAAAAATTTCGTTTTTCAAAAATTATAAGAGTGCCTTTTCTGCAGGAAAAATGCTGTGTATCAACCTCAAAAAGGCTCGAAAATTTTTATCCGCAGGAAAATTTCGTGACAAAATGTAGGACTTTAACCGACTACTTTCTTGTGAAAACACCCAATGGTGTCTACATAACTTTGCATCACACTGCCTTTGCATGAACCGTCCACTTGGAACTCTTCCTCAGAATAGATCATTTATAGCGAGCTATAAACATACTTTGATTAAATGAACAAGGCTGTGGACATATTTTGAATCATCACCAAGGCTTCGTAAAACACACCTTTGATCTTCACGGATACTGTCAAGGATAATGTGCTCAGGTTTATTGTCCACCAACCTTATACAATCATTTGAAAAACACATAATTCCCGTAAGCTTGTTTCGAAGAAACAATGTCTCCAAAAAATTTTTTTGCATGCAGATTCTTCGAAAATCAAGGTCGAGACGCATTACTCAACATGAACAAGAACCTGTGACGTAAAGTTACGTGGACGTTGATGCATTTTCTTTCTACTTCGCAGTAACATGATCATTTAAGGGTTACCTTCACTTCGTCATCTCGGCAAAAACCTCCATCCGTGCAATTAAGAACCTTGAGGGGTACTCATACATCATGGGAATTTTGAGGTTCTCAGTAAATGAAAAATAACAACTTATGTACATTGATTAATCAACAATTAATAATCAACAATCATTGCTTTTTTACCCATTCAAATGCAAGGTAATGTGTGACTTATTGAATACAGCCAGCTTTTTGAATCTCACAGGGCAAAGCTTATAGGGGGCTTGCGTTAAACGGTTTTGGTAGAATTTCCAAATTCTCGTTTGATCTAGATTTGATCACACCACTGCGGGCTTCATTTTAGGTATTCTTCCTTAAGAACTTTCTGTCGTAGTTGAATTATTCCAACTGTAACATAATGGATGAGTTATTAGGTGATTTATGCCTGAACTTCTGCAGAAAATGCTGCATCACTGAGATGCATGCTTGCAGCTGGTGTCTGAGTGACCCTAGGAAAATGTTCTTAATGATTTTTTCAACGTTAGGCATTGCTGTCGCATCCTAGTTTTTGCAAAAATTTCCTTTTTTACGATTACCCCTTTAAGACCTGATAAGCGTCTGCTTATGGGAAGTCTGTTATATATAATGAAGTTTTTTGATGTTATCAAGCGATAATCCGCGTAAAATCATGTATCAAGAGTTCTAAAAGGAAGAGAGCAACATCTCACTTTCAGAAAACCACGTTTTTAGGCTTACACTTGGCACAGCAACTACAATGCGGAAATATATGTATGACAAATCTCTAGATACCTATGCATATACAGGGTGTTTGAAAAGTTCGTGTCCTTAAGCACTTCGACTGCGAACGCTGACTCAATTTTTGCTATGTGTGTTCGCCAAACCTAGAGACCACTGAATCAACAAAGAAAAATTTTTTTTGCCTCAAGATACCCCAAAAAATTTGGAAGTAAACAATTTTTTCAGCTTCCTTGGAGAGTGCGTTATCTGATTTGTTCTTTTTTTTTCAACGCCAAAAGGGAGACAGCTTTTAATTTTTTTACTACAAATAGTCCTAGATTTACGCTTTCTTTAACAGAAGCTCTTCAGTAGCTTGCTAACGAAGATTTTTCTATGCGCTGAATCACAGCAGGCAGTTGCGGCACGTTTGCGTTGAAATTTTTTCAGTTTGAAAAAATTTTGGAAGTCTTATTTCAATATGTACTTGTAGCACAACTCTCTGGCCTTCGTTATATTTGTTTTCAAAAATTTTGCACGCTTGCAAAGGTTATGAGGATAAAATATAAAAATTTCGGTGCTGAACTTTTTGACGAAATAATCCTGAAAGTGGATCTCTTGCCTTTCAAAGGCACGATATTTCAAAACGAACTTACTTCTACGAAAGTAAAAGCATACTTAAGAATCCTTAAAGAAAGGACTTTCAGCAGGTGCACCAAGTTTTTTGTGAATTATGTTTCCTTCTTTGTAACAAGCGTTCCAAGGAAAGAGGTTTGGAAAGCTATACTGATGTGTTTCAATCTAGTACAAAATCAAAGAAAGCGCGAAGAAACTTGATTTCACTGAAATAATGGTATTTAGGTCTCATGAGCACAATAAAACAAAAACGCTTTAAAATTCGAATTGGAAGTACTTTAGGACACGAACTTTTCAGCACCCTGTACTAGCCACATCTTTTCTGAAACTCGTTTTGTGCATATTCTTTAGTGGTTAGAAAAACTAGATTTAGCCTGTAGTAGTATAAACAACGCCTATATACGGGGGTGCGTTAATTTTGACCTCTAAAGAAATTGTCAATCATGCCAATATAGGGCATCTTAGCTAAAAAGGTCGTATTGAATCAATTGACTACGTTTTTTCTGCACGGCCTTGGCAGATGATGTCACAATGGATCGGGTTATCATGAAAAATATTTTGGCCACTTTCTTCTCTCATTCTATCATAATTCTGTGCAAAAATGCTTGATCTTTGATGTACAATGCTAAATGTAACCTACAAGACTACGAAACATGGGAAACGAAACACGGAGTTGGGAGTTGATTTAGTAAAGCAACTGATCATGCTGATTACGAAAATATATTGTACCAGTGCTGGCCCTATTTCTGTATGCCTTGCTCATTTCCGCATAATAATGGCATTGAAACTCACCGCGCTTTATAAGCTATTACGAATGATTCGTAGACAACTACTCATCCCTAGAGGTTTTTCGTGTGAGATCGGTACTTTCGCCTGGATGAAATTTTTTCCGGAAGAACAGATGCAAATTTGAGTAGGTTTTTGGAATTTTTATGGCTTGGTAGTTGCCATAAGGACAATAAACATCATGGGCTACATCTCTGTGCAAAAATCTTCTCAAGTGATCAGGTGAAATCTTGGCAAAAAGAACATTTACGCAACTAACTCTTTTTGGCGCCATTTTCGTAAAGTAGCCAACTTTAGTTAAGTTTTTTGGGCTGAAGTCCATGGCTTCCACATTAGCTTGTCAAACATATCCATGGCATCGCAAAAGTGGTGGTACACGCTCAATTTTATTGGCCAAAAGCCAAGTGGATCCGATTTACGCGCATTTTTTGAGGGATCCACAAAACGGATCCGCTCATGCTTTTGTACAGTGGACTCTCATGTTGGTAGCATGCGCTATGCAAAATTTGGGCTCAGGAGATTGGCTGAAACACGTTCTACGAATTTCGTGACAGACACACACACACACACACACACACACACACACACACACACACACACACACACACACACACACACACACACACACACACACACACACACACACACACACACACACACACACACACACACACACACACACACACACACACACACACACACACACACACACACACACACACACACACACACACACACACACACACACACACACACACACACACACACACACACACACACACACACACACACGTAAACACCCTTAGCCCGTTATTATAATTTATGATGGGGAAGGGGGACAGGGGTTTAGCAATGAGACGAGGACGGTGGGAATCGGGTATGCCATAAAGTCGCTCACTTTTCCACCACTAACTCGCGGCTCGTAACAGTGACTCGAAAGCAACTGTCTTATTTGGAAAGAAGATGTATTGACGGTTTGTATACATCATTAAGAGTGAAAATCTTAGATTTAGAAAAATCGCAGACGATCCGTTCCAACTGAAGCTCAGGGGAAAATTTTGATTTTTCAAATACCCGAAAATCGGGACTCCCTCAGAAAGATCGTGCGAACCTCCAACTAATCACGTACTCATGATCATACCAGACATTCATACACTATTTTTTTAGTTGGGAAAAAATAGGCTAGTAAACAAAATTGTCAGTTTTTTCGATTTCATCATGTAAAATTGATAGTTCGCGATAACCAGAGCTTGTAGACTGCTGAAAATTTGCTGTTATATTCGTAAGGGTACTCATGTTGAGGCAGTCCAGCATTACTCTAACTATAGCATTCAAAGTTTCGTTGCTTATCTAATTATCATAAAAATAACAAGTTCACACGTGAATAACTGATAAGATAAGTGACATTCTTAAGCGAGGTGAAGGTTCTTAGGATTTTTTGGACAGAGGTTCGAATTTTTATAATTTTTATTATCTTTCAAACTTCCTGTATCAAAATTCTTGTGATTTCATACATTCAAGCTTTGACAACATGGTGAACTTTGACAACAGAATGAAGATCGTGTCCCGCAACTCATACTGTCTGCGCTCAACTTTGTCCATCTATGGACACCCAAATGGTGTTCATAATATTGAAACCATTTGCACGTTTTACATTCAATTTCATTTCATTTTGTTGCACGATTTTGTAGAGACTTGGTGTAAATCTGGTTTTCTCGACTTTTCCATACCATTTCGCCATCAAAAAATCATTTTTTGCTGGAAATTTACCATACGATTTCTTTCACATGGCTCTATTCAATACCGAACATTCATCTTTGTCTGTACCATTTTTACAAACCGTCAAAACAACCATAATTTTTTTGATAGCCAACTCAATAACTACAGGTCTATGTTTCAGCGCCTTGAGTAAGACCCGAAACTCGCTCACTTCTCAACCATCTATCTTGCTTTAACCTCCAACTTCCGCAACACTCCTTGAATACTTGACTTAGCAGTCGTCTGTATCAGATGTGCGATAGGTAGTCTTTTTGGAGAATTTTTATCATAGATAATGTTTACAAAAGAATTTTGTTTTTACAGGTTAGTGGCATGTTTATAGCTGAAACGAGTGCGAGATCGATTGAACGGCACCTCAGTTTAGCTGACAAGTTATCCTTCGACGTCAATTCATTTCTTAGATAAGCGACATCCGGGTAAGACTACGGTATTGTCTTCAAGAGAGTCATGTTTTGCTGCTATAGATAACAGCGGAGCCACAGTGACTAAGCTTTTATTGGTTGCTATTTTCAGAACAACACAGAAACGGAGACAATTGGAAAAAGTTTGTTCGAAGAGAGGCTCTCGGACTTCACTTTAAGCATATCGTGCATGTTTGTCAGCTTGAGATAATTGATAATTGTTCAATAAATCGTCTCCTGCTCTAAGCAGTTGTTGTGTTTCTTTTGCATGTTACATATAGATAAGTTTTGTATGTTTTTTTCGATAAACAAAGGAATGTACATGCTCCAGAAGTGAGTCAGCCAGAAAAAACCACTTACGAATTGTCAAATGACCAACGTCCTGCTTATTAATTACTGATTACGAGATAAGATATGGCAGAAAGCACGGAAAGCCATAAGAATTTCATATGAGGTTTCCAGTATTTTCAAAATTGGTAACTGGTGAGATGAGATTGACAGACCGACACGCACGATAATATTCATGCACTCGGGGAGAGGAGAGGTAAGGGAGGGTAGCTCGAGGAAGCAGAAGCAGCATCATGAACACATGCGCGGTTGTTCCGCCAGTATTTTTATGGAAACCTAAATCTGTTTTGCCATAAATAACGACTTAACATAAAGTTTCCATATACATAGCCACATTACATGACGATCGAGGCTACTACAACATTGGAATTTCAGGAGCGCTTCAAACAACGGGAACTAACTTTTGCTGCCTCCTTGACTGTGGAAATGACAGAAAAGAACATTGTTGCTTGAAGTTGAACAGGCAATTCTGACATGAATTGCGATGACAGCATAGATGAACATCGACAATGATTTGGACGGCAAGACTCTTTGAGCTTGTATGATATAGTGTCGTTTATATCACTTCAATAAATTTGATAGGCCCCGATTCTCTTCCATGCGCAGAAATGAGCTCCAACCAAATAGTCAGCGGTCATTCTCCAGCCCTCTGGTTGTTTAGGATGCGGATGGACTGAATTAACCCTCAACACATTGATGACCAAGGCGTTTTACGGACCAGTCAAAATTTTTTAGATAAAGTCACGCACTGTTCCATCTACAGTGCACTACAGTAATGCTGTAATGCTGGCAAAAACAGTAGAGGTTGTATCTATATCCAGCACAAAAGAAAACTCCCGGAGTGGGTTTGACACAAAATGGTAGCCATTTCAACGGATGGTGTGTCAAGCCTTGACACAGCATGTGTGTCAAGCGGTCGTCAATGTGTTACCAAGGCTTGGTTGCGAAAAATGTTTTTGGGCAATTGTAAAAACCTTTTTCAAACGACTATAATTCAAGCGATTATTCGAGAGCTGCTTCTACTATTGCAAAGGCAATGCTGTTCACAGATTTTCAAAAGTTATACCGTAATTTCGCGAGTCAATTTTACCCATGGGTAATTGAGCCACAACGAAATAAGAAGCTTTTGAGCATTCCTTAGGACTAACTCGAGAGTTTGTGGGGTTATATGCAAAAAAGAAGCCGTTTGCAACCCAGACCATACACCACGATTCAAAACTGTACATATTTGTTGCCAAAGATTGATTGATCCAGCTTACTAGGAAAGTAATGGAATTTGAAAACAGCGATCTTGAGCTCTCACGAAGTCGAATGAATCGTTGTACGCAAGGCTGCTGTGGGAAGCAGTCAATGACTAAGCAGTCAGAATTTCAGAATTTGCCGAGGCTTTGCATAGTGGAACTACTCGATCTGGTGAACACAAATAACATGGTCATTAGTTGAATTGATGTTTCTCTTTGTTTTCAGAATAAGGCTTCATTATTTCTTATCGCAATCTTCAAAAAAGCCATAACAAGCGAAGATAGTAATGTATTCGTGATCACATGTCGGATACCCCTTCCTTTAGGCCAAGGTTCAGCCAAAACTGTAATGATGTGAAGTTATTCTGTCATATACCGTATAACTACTAACCCTCACTGCAACGTCAGAATTTGGCAGAACAGTAACTGCTTGCAGCTTTTGTGATAGTCTACATAATGCCAAAATGAATACGTATCTTCGAATGCGTCAGAAAGTATAATAAAAAAGGTGCAAACTAGGTAATAACCGAATAATAATATTTATACTTAGAATGATAGAAAGTTCTTTGACGTTTAGATACTATACAGGGTGTCCCAAAAAAATGTATCGAACGTTTGATCGTTAAAATCTCTCTTCCTAAAAAGTCTTTTGCCTTGCTTCAATTACCGTTTTGTAGAGCTGGCTTCAACTTAGATTTGCATTATAGAACGAATCACCCATCTCTCTTCATTACTGTAGGATTACAGTAGAAACTTGAAACATATGGTGTCAATGTGGAAAAAGCTGCCGTCTCAAAATTTTTCAAAAAATTGTGAAAACTTGTGTAATAGGGATTTTATGGACGCTGAGTTCAATATTCAACTATTCACAAGATTATGAAGCTTTCTAAACGGTGTAATCGCACTTTTTAGGAGCATTGAAAAAATGACCGCTACCTCTTACCGGCATAACTCTTCAATGAAGAATCATAATAAATTAGGAACTTTACAGTTATAATCAGCATCTCTAATTAGCCTACTGTAAAAGTTTTCAGGCTGTTTTGTTTCCTTTCTGAGGCAAAATATGGCCTTTCATTGCTTAAATCCCTCTTTGAAGTTTCTACCGTAATCCTACAGTAATGAAGAGGAATGAGCGATTCGTTCTATAATGCAAATCTAAGTTAAAGCCAGCTCTACAGATTGGTACCTGAAGCATGAGAAAAGACTTCTTCAGAAGAGAGATATTAACGATCAAACGTTCGATACATTTTTTTGGGACAACCTGTATATCGATATAGCTTGAGTGCTCCTCTCAGGCGTCCTTATGACTTAGTGAAGGCCACAGAACGCAGAGCTTTGTCCTGACATTAGGAATTTGAAGCAATACAAGTTCGTTATCTGAGTTTTGAAGAAAGTATTGTGGGATTGAAGTGTTTTCCATGCTCACATGATTTGTGATAGATGGAGCGATTTCAAAACGTTGAATTAAACAGGTAAAACCGAAATTTATCTTCATGTAGCGCAAAAGAGTGATGAAACATTCTGATTATGTTCTGCCGTTAACAAAGTACCGTAATTATCTGAGAGATGCCAACAAAGTTTCAAAGGCGTTCTCAATCGTACACATATGTCACACTTGCCTGTATAATTTTTGGAATATTGTAGATCCCCACAATGGCTGTCATCAGCCCTTGCAATGAATGCAGAAAAAAACTGAACATCAAAGGGTAAAGAAAGCTCGGAAGAATACCCAGGAGCTAACTTCGAAGTCAGGAAATTCGGATAAGATGCAGCATCATCCTGCTAAAATCTATCAGTGGTTGCATAAGTCTCTATGGTCAGCGTCTCAACTCTTGCAACCATTGTGGAAATAGTAAGGTGAGAGTATCAGAGTTTCCATCTGAAGCGATGTCAAATCACCACGTGACGAGCTCAGTACAAAGAGATCATAATTTTACTTTCTTTGCTGATCATTAACACAGGTCTCTGAAAGCAAAAACACAGTTGCACACGTCATCTCGATAAAAATCAGTGCAAAGATCAGAAGTCTCTAACTCGTCATGAAGTTGTCAAATTTTACTGTAGAGATCTGCAATTTCCGGGTGATGATTCATAGAAATCAGTAATACGGTACTGACTCATTTTCTGCGGCAAGATACGGTAAATGTGGCCAACTTGAATTTCGTTTTTTGTTTACAATTCGGTTTCATTCTGCAATTGCACGGAATACGCATTACTTTTCATTAATTTAAGCTGTTTTAGAACTGATTCACGTCTTTGAATGCAGTTTTGTTGTGACTATACCCTCAATAAGGATGTGCTTATGCAATTCAGAAATGCTACAAAGGAGATTCTTACCATATTTTGCCCCTGTCTTCCACTTCTGAAGTCTCAAATGCTGAGCTTTTGGTTGCTTTTCAATTCATACACTATCTTGTGCCGAATCATTTGGCAAAGAAGGCGTGCCCTCGTAGCTGATGTTCCATACAGCTTGTACGGATGCCAGTTACCTTTATCGAAGAGACTTTCGATATGCCGGCACGGCCGTTCTACAAACCTCAAAAATTAACCTATTGAAAAAGCAGTTTTTACTCAACTTCTGCGAGACTAGAGCTGTCAATTTTAGTAGGTAAATACATCACTACCACTATGCTTCCATGGGCGAAAAATTTGAATTTTCAGGGTTATTCGGGGCTTTCAGAAGAAGATTAAGAAAGTTTGATCGTTTTCGCCACTGACTCATTACTAAACGCGTAGCTGATCGGTACCTTTCTTCAATAAAGGTGACTTGCCAAAAACATTTACCCATTTACCTTTCGATGACTCATGCTTTTGGGCTGGTGGGCTTAATTGCCGAAGACCTATTTTTTCCAGTTTCTTGTTGCTTTTTTGCGTGATATGAAGTGCCAACGTCACTACGCTTTAGAGTAGGACTTCGCCAAACAAAGAAAGAGAACCCAATACTTATAGTGATTCACTCTAGTTCCAATAATGGGTAAGCTTTTACTAGTCTGCTTACTATGCCAGTCTTCGCCTGCTTGCTGACAACAGATGTAAGTCCTAAATGACACCGGTGCAACTTTTGCGCAATGTTTAGTTTCTTTTGAAGATCCTGAAAAATTCATTGGCCCCACATTGCTCCACTGCGCTTGCAGGGTGGTTTCTGCCAATGTGTGAGTGAATTGCTGTAAAATCGCTTCTGCGCAATTGCAAATGACAGACTCTTAGAGAGCTGAAGCTCTACCGTGTTAGGAAGTGCTAATCTTGGCTACTTGCTTGTAGACACTCCCTTCGTCCCGCCTCACTAGCTTTGATCAATCATTGACAAGTTTTCTCTGAAAGCAAAAACACTCTGTTTCAATGCGTACGTCATCTCGGATAGAATAAAGTGCAAAGATTAGCATTCTTTTACTCGCCACCATGAAGTTGCCAAATTTTTGCGTAGACGTCTGCATTCGTGCACGATAGTCCATTAGAGTCAGTAACACGGTAGTGACCTATTCCCTGCTCCGGCAAGATACGGTAAGTGTGGCTAATTTGAATTTCATTCTTTCTTTAGGTTCTGGCCCCATTTCAGTTGCACACAATACGCATTGCTTTCGCTAACGATAAGCTATCTCAGAACTGACGTATAGGCTGCTGCATGACGAAGGCGCAATATCTTTGGGCGCGAACGCGGCTATATTAGCCGCAGAGCGTATGGG